CAATTTCCAACCAGCCCATCGTTCCATGTCTTGTCCTAACTGTAGCTTCTTGACCTGCATACAGGTTTCTCAGGAGGCAGGTAAGATGGTCTAGTATTCTCATCTCTTTAAGAATTTGCCACAGTTTGTTGTGATCCACACAGTCAAGGCTTTAGCATAGTCAATGAAGCAGAAGTAGATGTTTTTCTGGAATTCTCTGGCTTTTTCTGTGATCCAAGAGATCTTGGTCATTTGATCTCTGGTTCCTCTGCCTTTTCTAAATCCAGGTTGTATATCTGAAAGTTCTTGGTTTAAACAACCGCTCAATTGTACTCATTTCACATGCTAGCAAGGTAATACTCAAAAATGCTCCAAGGTAGGCTTCAACAGTATGTGAACCAAGAACTTCTAGGTTTGGATTTGAACTGAAAGGAAGGGCTGTTAGACAAATGAGGGTGCTCTGTCATAAGGTCCCGTAAACCCTTCCTGTGATCTAGATAAATTTTCTCCATGCCAGTCCCATATGACTTTAATTTCTGAAAAAGATATTTCAGGCTGCATGGATTTTATGATATTCAAAGCATGTAAGTAAAGCCTGGCTTAGATCTGCTTTGGAGGCAAGAGAGGAAAAATCAAATCAAAGTTTGGCAAACTTGAACTTGCTTTTGTAACTTCTTGACAGCACTAACATCTAGATCAGAAATGCAATATGAATTCAAAGTTCCAGGATCATAGAGCAGGTAGAAGATTTCCAAGAAAGTCCCTTTGGTAGAATGAGTATCAGTACAGACCACAGTAAGGATATTTGTGGATCTCCACCGGGGTGATGCTGCCGTACTGTTGACTTTCAAACTGGGAAATAACCCAACGGGGCAAGGCTGCAGCCAAGGGGATTAGTGATGCTCTGGATAAAGCATTCCCTAAAGCAAGTGTGTGGACCCAGGTCGGCAAAGGGCATGTGCTCCGACAACGTTATGAACTCCTGTGGTGAAGTCATGTGAGTTTCCTTCTTGAAGGACTACTGTGAACTTTCATATACTGAATCTCCAAGATGGGGAGTGTCATATATACAGTTTCCCTAAATTATCTGGCCGTGAACTCTAGTCATCTTTCAGGGCTTGTCCTCTATAGAGTACACTTTTAGAAATAGAATAGCAATGATATAATGGTTTTAAAACCATTGGGCATGTACCATCTGCCAGACACCATATTAGCACTTTATAAATTCCATCTTACTTTATTCTCACAGCTTTCTAAAACAGGCACTAGTTTTATCTCCATTTTGCAGATGAGGAAACTGAGGTTCTGTTTAAGTCATTTAGTGTGCCGGCAAGTGGCCAAGTAAGAATCTGATTGCAAAAAAGGACCGTATCAGTTATTTCACCCTAAACTTAAGATTCTGAGTTCACTCTCCTCTCATATACTCAAGCCTCAAGCTGTGACCTTACTTAGCACTCACTGTGTATGGATCACTTTTCACAAGAATTCTTGTTATTCCTGTAAGCATCGCTATTATCATAATCAGTCCGGGTCCTCATGAATAGAATGTAACAATTCAGTGCATTTCTGCAGGATTGCAGAACCGACACGTACCAGCACCAGCCTTATAACTGTCAAGTCACAGGCTCTACGGTTGTGTCCATGCTTTATGGTGTGTGTCACCTGTGGCAAATAAACCACTCAGCATTTGCCCCTTCTACCTTGTTAAGGCTGTAATTGGAGAGGGATTAATTTATGCTTATTGCAGACAGTAAGCTAAAGCTCATTTATCATGAGTGTTCATTCCTCAGCAAAACGCATACAAACCCACCTAGTGATGTTGGGCAAACTGTGACATGCATCTGCAGTTGTGTGGAGCAGCAATAGCCCTGCGTTTATTCAGACGCAGATCTGCAAGCAGGAGTCGCCCGTGGAACACAGAGGGCAGCAGCCCTCGGCCTCTCACTGCTGCTGCCTGCTTCTTGCCGCGGAGCAGGCACTCTGTGATGCAAAGATGGCTGGGGGAGCGCATACATGTTAGACCTCAGGATACAGGAGCTCATTTTCCCAAAATAATGTGCTAATTTCTTAGCATTGTTAATGCCGCATACTTGTAAATGATTATTTGAATGGGAGTCATTTAGATTTGGAAGATTTCAGCTGGTGATGGGGAGATAGAGGAGGAGGAAGGGAAGAGAAGGGACACAGAGTCCATTCGTGTGTCTGCTTTCTGTGTCAGTGAGAACCTGGCTATAGCAATTTCCTCACTTGAGTTTTACATTTGTTTCAAATGCCAACCCTTTCAAGCAGCCTTAGTATTCTTCCTGGTTTCTCCATAACACTGATGTTCTGCTTGTTCTGAAAGGGCATTCAGCTGGGAATTGGAGGTTCAGCTAATACAGCTACTTGCCTTTACTCATCCTTATATTCCACAGCTTCTCCCTGGGTCTCCCTTAATTCCCTGTCAAATGTAGGGTTTGCATTAGAAGATTACCTTTAATTGCTTTCCAGCATTATTTCCAAAAGTGTTAGGATGGTATTGTGATAATGTCCAGAGAGAAATTGAGTGAGAGAGACTTTTATCTTTTAGAGTTACAGACGAAATTATATAATAGCTGAGACTTGCTTCAGCATAACCCAGTGTTGGGGTTGTGGGCACTGCACAGGGATAGAAATAAAACAGCACTGTTTTTGGGTTGATGGTTATTGAAGAGTGATGGATGCATGACAGCTCATTCTGTATGTACACTTATCACTGATAAATTGTTGTTTAGTTGCTAGGTCGTATCTGACTCTTTTACAACCCTATAACTTGCCAGGCTCTTCTGTCTGTGCAGTTTCCCAGGCAAGAATGCTGGAGTGGGTTGCCATTTCCTTCTCCAGGGGATCTTCCTGACCCAGGGACTGAACCCATGTCTCCTGCATTGGCAGGCAGATTCTTTACCACTGAGCCACCGGGGAAGCCCACCAGCCATAAATACACACATGCCTATGTATGTGCGTATACATGTTATCAGAGTTTAAGAGTGTGTGACCTAGGATTCTAACTGGTCCTTTGAAAACGTAAGACTGCTCTGACCTTATCACTTGTTAATTTGCTTCTTGTGCTTTACTTTTAGCCTTTATCCCCATTCTCAGAACTATCTTTAAAAATTCCAGACATCTCCTGCTGAAAGTAGGCCAGGGTTGAAGTATATAGAAAAGTGTGTGTGTGTATGTGTGAGAGAGAGAGAGAGAAAGAGAGAGAGAGAGAGAAGAGGGACTTTAAGTCCTAGTTCTTTCATTTACTAGTCCTGAGTCCTTTGGAGCAACATTAACCAGTGAGGCCCTCACTGTTCCTATCTGTCTGGTAGAGATCACCACCCTGCCCTCCACAGTGAAAGTTAGTTGCAGTAATGTCTGTGACAAATGGAAGATGTTCTTTCCCCACTGACCTTCTACCCATCGTGATGGAAGTGTTGAAGTATTCCCGGACCCCTTTGCACTGCGTTCGCCTAAGTAAATGGGAGAGACCTTTATTTTTCAGTTTCGAGCCAAAAACGCATCTGCCTTGTGCGTTCTGTTCAGTGAACCCCTCCTGTCTCCTCACACACACATTTCACAGCTTAAGTGCTGCTTGACTTAGGGAGGAGAATCATAAAGGTTGCTTCATTTTAACCCTTCCTGAAAGCTAATTCTACTAAAACAATAAACCTATTTTCTGAGAGAGAAGGCTTGATTTGTGTTTTTTGCCAAAACTGGTATATGGAATTTCCAGTCATAGTTACTGCACACCTGGGATGTAATAATTGAATAACCAGACAGAGCAGAAGCAGCCTTGGGTCTTGTTCAAAACCATCAGCGTTGCAGACACCTATCCTGAAGTTTTGTATCTGGGGGACCAGAACATTGTGCTCTTGGCTCTCAACAGAGAAGAGCCACAGAAAATGATGCTTAAAGGTCACCTGCGTTCCTGGATATTGCGCTTTGCTTAAATTGACGGAAGGTAAAGGTCAGCGTCCAGGCTTCTAAGGGGTATGCGTGGTTTGCCTTTTGTGCTGGAGCTATGCTATGTTTGCAAAATGTCAGTGTTCGAGAGGGTGAAAATTAATTGCAAAGTCATTAAAGTAGAGCAGGCTGACCCTGGGCTAGAGGAGGGGAGATGGAGAGAGATGCTCCCCAGAGCCGCACTCTAGGAGTGAGGTCAGGGAGGGAGAATCTTTCATGGATGCCAAGGCATCTGTTCGGTCCAAGAGGAGGACTCACTGCCTCTAAGAGGCTGGCGCCTCCTGGCACAAGCTTTCTGGACTTTGGCAAGTTACAGAGACAACACCAGATTTCACATCTTTCCTCCCGCATCAGAGCAGCTGCCCTTGTAAAATATTCACTTAGCCATCAGTTTCCTATGTGTAAAAAATATAAGCAACCAGTTCTCTCAGATGACAACTGCTGGGATAGGAGTGAGAGGGGTTGGATAATTCATGAAAGTATTCCTGCTGGTAGTGTTTCTGGTTTTCTGCATTACTTAATGGGAAAAGCTTGCATTCAGAGTATAGAAAAATTTAACAATTATATTATAAATATTGATTCAAAGCAATAATAGCAGTAGAAATAAAAGCTAAGACTCATAAAGGGCTTACTATGTGCCTAGCAATGTTATCCATGCTTTACATACATTGATTCATTTAATCCTCACAAAAACCCAATGAGACATGTACTTTTATTTTCAGCTCCCCACATCAGGCATGGGAAGGTGAAGTAACTTGCCCAGCAGCTAATAACCAGCGTGTGATAGGGCAGGCCTTGGACCTAAGCAGTGCGGCTCCACAGTCTATGTTTGAAACTGTTCCACTGCACTTCTTGAACAGGCCGGTTGGAGGGTTCTGGGGCCTGGGACGGGCTCAGATGTGCCCACATGGCTGGCCATGTGAGGTACATCTTGTGTGCACGTCCCACACGGCATCACGGGACGCACCATGCCTCCGTGTGAGCAGCCCAAGCCTGTCACAGAGTCGCGCCCACCCTGCTGCTCGCCGGTGACCATGCCTTGCTTTCCCCCCTAGCCCCGCTGGTGGACCTCACTCCAGCCCACAGCGGCTCCGCCATGCTGATGCTGCTGTCCGTGGTGTTTGTGGGGCTGGCGGTGTTCGTCATCTACAAGTTCAAAAGGTGCGTGTCCCCCTCCACAGCCTCCCTCCCTCCCTCCCCCTTCTCCCCGACAGGTTCAGAAGCCTTTGTGGCCGTGATGTACACGTCCCGTGCGCAGCAGTGACGATTTCTGTTAATGTTTTAGGAAGATCCCGGGGATTAATGTTTATGCCCAGATGCAGAATGAGAAAGAACGAGAGATGGTCAGTCGAGTCAGTCACCCTGAAAGCAGGCCCTATGTCCCTCAGACTGAACTCAGGCGGCCTGGCCAGCTGATAGATGAGAAGGTGGAGTCCCAGCTCATAGGTAAATGATTCCTGGTAGCCCTCAGCTCTTCAGCCTGAGTAGTCAATGACTGGCTCTCTCTCTAACCTCTCTCTGGCTTGACGTAACCACTTTCTATGCTCTAACATCCCTGAGAGAAGCAGCTAAGACACCTCTTTCCCCGCTTCCTTCCTTTAGAAAAGAGAGAGAGAGAAAAAAAAAGCTTTCTCGCTCCTATCTAGTTTTTTATCTTCTGAGTTTATTCCTTTTTTTTTGCAAAAACGCTTGCTGAAACATTGGGCTTCAAGTGTTTATGGGCAAAGAGCAGAGTATGTGCTCTATCAGTATATGAGAGGGACAGAGCTTAGAGGCTAGAGCTGCTGATCCTAGAGGGCTGGGGAGGTTTTGGGAGCCAGGGTTTATAATGGCCAGAGCAAGCCACGGCACCCTCAGCTGGAGACGGTTCTAAGGACGGCAGACTGCTCCAGAACGCATGGAGAAGAAAGACTGATCACCCTGGGTTTTTTTTTTTTTTTTTTTTTAATCTAGCTTTAATCTAAAACTGTCCCCCAGGAAACATGGAACCTAAGAATTCTGAGGACAAGAGCCATCAAGTTGGCAGGACATGTCAGGAGTGAAGTTTCCTGGAGAGAGAACTGGAGGGTTAGATGGTTCTAGGGCAGCTGGCAGATTTCTTCCTCCTTTTCACCTGTGTCCTACCAGAAGTCTTAAAATGGATTTTAGCATAATTCAGTAGGGCTCACGCTGCCTGGAAAGAAAGCATGGGAATCCTACAGCTAGGTGTAGAAAGTCTCAGGGTAATTGCTAAATTCTGCTATTAATTGTAGAAGACATTTCCCAGGAAATTAGATAAATCCATGGAGCCACCATTGTGACCCATTTCTCTCTTAGTCTCCTCCTGTCTGGTGGCCATAGAGTAGAAGCTGTAAATGTTCCCATTTAGACTCTGCATTGCTGACTCTGATGGATACATTGTTATATAAGCATTCATGCTTTACTCTGATGTGATAATGCCAAACCACCTAGAAGGTCCTTACCTAGGACTGTTAATCTGAAACCTGGAAAAGAAAGAAAAAAAAGTGCTTAGAGGGAAACAGCATCCTCTCTTTAAACGAGTCCAGGAAAGTTCTGTGGCTGTATTAAGGGGAAATTTAAATGTGCTGCCTGGCTTGTATGGGATGTAATAATAACAACAGCCCCCACATCTGGTGTCCAGTTTTCACAGCATGCTTCCTTTTATTCGGGGAGACAAGGTGATAAATGCATAATTGCTTTGGTTTAAAAAGAAAAAGGGATTTTGGTCTTCAAGTCCAGAGAAGCGTTCACCCTGTCTATTTATTTCTAAAGCTTCTAAGTGCATTTTTGTGGGTTGTTTGGTTTTCAATCCCATTTCCACTGGGGTGTGAAGCATAGGCACTGTTTGCTTTATTAAAGTAGCAATCCCTCCTTCATCAGGAACAGCTCCCAGCGCCTTGCAACTTGTCTGCCACCTTTCCATTTCCAGTGTCATTAAATGAGTAAGTGTTACACGTTTTCTCTTAGGAGAGTAGCTTTACCTTCCCCTCCCTCCCCTTCTGCTCAACCTGGTGACTCATCTCTCCGATTGCAAAGAGCAAGACACTCCACTCCACCTTCAACGCCAAAGCGGGGATCGGCTGGGGCCCAGTTTGCCATTTAAGGAAAACCCCCAAAGGCTACAGGCGACCTGCTGATCAGGAAAGAATTTCGCTCTTGTCAAGTGCATCCTTCTCCATGACCACTAACTTTGTGTTTTTTTTTTTTTTCCCCCTTTGTTGTTCTGTTTCCTATCTTGCCAGGAAGTATTTCCATAGTTGCTGAGAATCAAAGCACAAAAGAAATCCCTACCTATGTAAATGTTTGACTGGAGGACGCCAGTAAAAACAAAAACAAACATAAAATAAAAACAATCAAAATCCAAACAGACAAACAAACACTCACTGCATCGGGACTTTTTAATTCTTCAGACACAACAAGGGTTTTTAGCTTTAAGCCTGTGCATGTGGACAGTACCTTGAGAACATACTTGGAGGGGCAGTGTATAGGTGCTCTATTTTAATGGAAAAAAACACTCCCCTCCCCCTTTCTTCTTCTCTCTCTTTTTTTCTGATCGGTCGTGTTTGTAGAAAATTCCTAACATATATAGGCCAAGGAAATCTGCATGTATTTTTGGAAATATTCTTGGCTCTAGATTTAACAACTCTTTTAGCACTATAGGCTGATGGGTGGATTAGCCACCCCGGCTCTTTTCACAAGACACAAAGACATGCACAGGAGTTCAAAACCCTGAGCTGTTTCTCTGTTCCACTTTCCTGGTTGCTATTTTCCCCATCTAAGTTATCTTGGGGAGCTCTGTTGGCTGACAGTGGTCACAAGGTGGCCTTCTCCATTCTGAGTGGCCGTAGGGACAAAGAAGCAACCGCAGGTTCCATGGATGCAGGCAGAATAGGGAAGGAAGGAAGGGAAGAAAGAAAGCAGGAGGCAAGCGTGTCAAAAGTGGACCTGGGTTTCCCGTTCCCCCTTCCAATCATGATGACTTCTCCTCTAGCTTTCCCGACTCCTGCCCTGTATAGGAAACAGGATGCCAGCTAGCCATGTTCTGACCTTCCCATTTGTCTGCTCTCCACGTGTGGTCCCGACCTGTCAATACCTTTGTATCTCTTCCTTCCAGTCCCCAACTTATCCTACAACGGCTCCTGCCTTTTCTTCCCAAACACGTTGCTAGATTCTGGACTTTCATCCTGATGTTCCTTAAAAACTGACCTCGCCTCTGCCAACCCTGCCTCCACCACCCAAAGTTTCTGATCTCTGTGTCAGCTTTGCACATGCCCATGCATGCAGCCTCCATATACATCCTGCCCTGCAGGGGTCAGCTTCACGTTTTTTTTGCTTTTTTGTCTCCTCCTGTAGAACCTGTCTTTTCTAAATATCCTCGCCTTTCCCCACCTGGAAACACATGATGTGTATGAAAGAGTTGAGATATGCAAAGCAATTCAAACCTGGCCCATGTACCTTAGAAAAGAAAGTGTACGAATGAATGGTGGTTTTTCCTCACAACTTAACAAATATCTCCTGCAGTCAGATTCCAGAAGATTCTTGTGAGAAATGTTCTGCATGTGTTACTGTGTGGCAGGGCAATTTCCTCCTGTGATGGTTGCTATTACCCAGTATTTCTTCTCTTACAGTAGAGTGAAATTATTTGTAAAATAAAACCAATGTTAAGCAGAAGAAGAACCTAGTTAATGGATTTAATGTTTAAGAGTGTCAAAAAGTCCAAGAATATATGGAGGTCTTGTCATATTGGGATGGGATTGTGATTACGTAGGATGACCCTAGACTTCTTACATGTGTGCTCTCTGCCCGGTGAGTCTCATAGTATCAGCAGAGGACAATTTAATAAGTGTAAAGGGGTGGAGTTAGCAGACTCAAGAAGATTGGCTCAAAGCAGGAAGAAATCCCCGTTCTCCCAGGGCCATCAGGAAAGAAGGTCCAGAGAAAGTGGGAAACAAAAGTATGTCTAACAGCAGCCCTTGGAGTATTATGTATTGGATAGAGCCTGCTCTAAAATATAAGAGAAAGGACAAGGGCAGTATCCTAGAGATCCTGATGACCCCTGCCTTTGTGTAGCTCAAGTAGAGAAGAGTAGCAAAGCTTCACTCAGAAGTTAATCAAGCAGAAGAGTTTATGGTTGAAGATGCTTGGTATGAATCTGGGAAATAGATTATGCCTGAGGCTGCCATCTATTTGTAGAACTCAATTGATCCCCACCAACCTGCCAGGCTTCCTATCACACAGGAAATGTCTTCACTGATCCTCTTCAGTTGGAGCCTCCCAAATTTAATCTGGAAGACAGTGTTTGGAAACCAAACGAGGCTCATTCACAACAGAACAGGGCGTCATCAGAGTTGCAATTCAATTAATTTTAATTGGAAAACTATGAAAAAGGAAGTAATACTCAATCTAGCACAGTGCCTTGCTTAGAACAGGTATTAAGAAAATTGTATGTTGCAAGAATAAATGAATACAGGAGAAGACATAGGGAAGAATGGGCTTGTAAGTCCTCATCTAAAACAGAGGTAGAGATGAGATGCCTGGTATTTTGGAAAGTGATCACAGATGGCCAGTTCTAGGTTCAGCATCTCCAAGGTCCTCATGTTCCTCTCCTTAGAGCTCCCTCCCACCTACAGGAGGCTGGTGAGGCAAAGTATATTGCTCAGAGGGGATCTTATGGTTCATATGATCTAGCTCCATGGTTCTCAAAGTGTCATACACAGAGACCAGCAGTATCAGTGTCACCTTGGACTTGTTAGAAATGTAGATTTTATGTCCCCTTAACCTCAGACTTACTGAATTAGAAACTGCAGAGTTGGGGCCCAGAAGACTGTTTTTACGAGCTTTTCAAGTGGTTCTGAAATACACTAAAGTTTGAGAACCATCGTGGGAGGCCACACCAGCTCAATCCCAAAGAGAAGGTAGTGATGAGAGCCTGCCAATGGGAGGAACCCAAGTGCCTACCTACTCACTAACAGCAGGTACAAACACATTGAGGAGTTTGGTGGGCTCAAGGCCAGAAGAATGGGTGGGGAGGGATGGATGGGAAAGGTAAGATTCAGGGCAAACTGCAAATCTTATATTGAAGCATTTTCCAAAATCCCAGAGGGCAAACTGTGCATGCTCCACTCTGAACTACCCAACCAACGTTTCCTCCTTTGCCTTATTTTTAATTGGATTCACTCTCCAAAATGCAGAGTTTGCTTTGCTTTTTTTCAGAAGTTCCAAACAGCAACTTTGAGAGCAATGGGGTGCTTGGCAGCTGTTCTGTGTTTTCCAGGATTCCAACTGAGCATTGAAATTCCCTCATTTGCCAACTTATTTTTATAGGAAGCCAATTTAAAAAAAAAAAAAGAAAGTTTTCTTATAGTATTGGAACTACTTCTAATTTTAAAATGACTTTTTTGATGTATTTTTTGTTAAATACTATGTAGTGTAATGTATAATTGCTCTTGTTTATTGCTTTTACAATCATATTTATTAAACAGATAATGTCTCTAAAATCTATGCCTCAAGGTGTTTCTTTTATTCCAAACCTCAGTGTTTAGTCCAGATATAGAAACGCTAAATCTATAGGGTTTCATAAAGGCTAAATGCATGAGAACACCACAGGTTTGAGGGCTTTGCATTTGGGGGGGGGTTTGGTTTTTGCTGTTGAAGTAGGATATATAGTCTATTGCTTGAATTCTACCTGCATTTCAGTTGACTGTATAATGTCTGTTGCTTTACTATTGCTTTATTCTATTTAAAAATCACCCCAAGCTGGTTACATTGAAATGAGTGCCATTCTTTCTTTTTGTTCCTTTAAAATGAGAAATTATTGATATGGAACAAACTCATTCAAATTTGTTCAGAGGCTTGTAGATACTGAAGGACCAAACCTGCATGTAATAGACTGAAATTTGGGGAGAGGCGAGAGCTCAAATACTAGAGTAATTATGGCTTGCTACAGGAATCAGGACAATGGGGGTTTCCTCCCAGCTCCACCAGCTATGTGACCTTGAGCAGAGCTTTAGTGTCCTCATGTGGATAATTTGCAGGAAAAGGACACCTCCCAGAACTGTATTCTGAGTGGGCGAGTCACGTCCGAGAGTTCCAAATAGCTGACTTAAACTTGGTGGAAAATAAAGAAGTGGACTGGATCCAAATCCGTTTGGCCTTGTGGTGTGTTTTCTCTGTCAGCGTTTTGTATTTGTGTTTGGTTGAAACATTTGTGCAGACACAAAGCCCTCCAAAGCCTTTTCAAAGACCTGCTGGGCTCAGAATGGCATTGCCTCATTAGAACCGTCTCAGCACGCATGGGAATTTCTGTTGTTTTTTGGGTGGGCTTTCACCTTTCCTTTAACACAGACTACACTTTCCTTCTGACCCCTCATTTTTTTCCAGGCCTATACTGTTTTTCTCCATCAGGAGCAACTTAGCTCCAGTGTCACTGAGGGTGAAAGTGAAAGTGAAAGTCACTCAGTCGCGTCCGACTCTTTGTGACCCCATGGACAGTCCATGGAATTCTCCAGGCCAGAATACTGGAGTGGGGAGCCTTTCCCTTTTCCAGGGGATCTTCCCAACCCAGAAATTGAACCCAGGTCTCCCGCATTGCAGGCAGATTCTTTACCAGCTGAGCTAGAATTCATAGTATGTCCCTGAGGGTTCAGGCAGTCAAACAAAAGTTTTCCATGGAGATTTCAGACAGAGAGGATTTAATACAGGAAATCTGTTGCTTGAGTAACTGAAGAGCCAGGATGCCAAATAGGGAAAGGTGAAGCAACTCCAAGATAAACATCAACAGGAGGCCTCTATCTTCCCTGGGCTGGAAAGACAAAGAGATCCCCAGAGCCCAGGACCAGGCCCACCAGATGGAAGCTGAAGTCATGGAGGACGTGTCTGGAAGAAACTGGAGCCACGGAGGAGACACTGCCTTTGCCAGCACTGCTGCCCAGCAGAGGAGAGGGAGTGGGGGAGCTTGCTCTGGGCCTCCCGTCTCCCGCCAATGTTCACCACTAGCTAAACCCAGCCACACACAAGGCAGTGGGCAGTGGAACCCAGAAAATAGTTTTCTGAGTTACTAAGTAGAAAAAGGAGGAGTGGGAAGTGGACTTGAGAAACACAGATGGATAATTGGCACAGCACTTGTTTCAAGTTCTGCCTACTTCAAATCCAACAAATCTCCTTCTACCCAAAGGTGCTTACTAAATAGTTGGTGCTCCTTTCTCTATGCCATTCTTTCACATATAAGCCTTTAAACAACACATATTTAAAATGTGGCATTATGTTTATGTATGTCCTTTTATACCTTTCTCACCAAGTTCTATGCTCATTTAGGGGAGAATCTATTTTTCATTTCACCCCTCCAGCCTGTAGCTGACAGCACTGGACATCACCATTAGGGGGCACTAGATAAATGTTTGCTGAAACTCAACCTTGGATTTTCAGTTTGGTGTTGCAAGTCCGTTTCATTTAGCAAAGACCTCTGAGATGTCCTCCTGGGTCAGACTCCCCTACCCAGGTAGCACCTCCAATTACATGTTCAGTTGGTGTTTGTCAAGCATCAACACATCCTTGCCCTTCGTCGCTGATACCACTCAAGCTGCAGGGAGCTATTCTTACGTATTAATGTAAGAAAAATAATTGCAGTTTAGGCGGAAAAAAAAACTCCCTAAAATGTAGCATGAAAAACAAAGGCCTAAGTCTGGTTTCTGAACCCTTATGAAATTTGTTTTCTATTTCTTAGGTGTTAATAGTATTTTGAAAAAGAGAGGTAGGCTTACTCTTTCATAATGCGGGAATCCCAAATTAATTCCAGATGATCATGTATAAGGAAACAGCTGTTATAGTTTTCATGTTAAACACACTAAAAAGGACCTTTTGTTTACAAAATACAAATAATTGTTAATCCATTTGTGGTGCAGACTTTTTAGGTAGTTATAATACAGCTGTGAACAAAGCTGATAATGTGTCTGCCTTCATGGGTATGTATTCTAATGGGGCAAATAAAAAAATTTAATAGAACATGTACGATGTTATCCTCTATATAATTTAGAGATATTTAGAGGTAAATAAACAGAGAGCAGAGTGACTGGGGATGGGAGAGGAGGAAGTTGGTCCCTGGCTTCTCTGAGATCTGAAGGCTGTAAAGGAGCTAGTCATTCAGAGACATATACATCGTTAAATGGTTAAGAAATACACAAATATAACACTTATCTTAAAGTGACATTTGCTTGTGACAGTGGTCACTGGAGTACTAATAGCTTGTGGTATTTTCAAGGTGTAGAAGGAGTGATCGGAAATCCAGTAGAAGATTGTGCTATCAAATGGATGGCATGGCCCTTAACACAAGAGGCAGATGGAGGCCACTGGTAGGTGTATGTATATGTTAAAAGTAGTTTGGATATACGGGTAAAATGAAGAAGTCTCACTTGACAGCAAACGGGAAAGATAAGAAATACACCAGTTCTCCTTTCCTCCCCCTCAGCATTAGCCTGAGGACTTCTGCTGTGGAGACCGGCAGCCACCTCACCCTGCAGACTTTAGAACATCACCCACTTTCTAGCAGCCACAACCGATATTTAGAAATATGATTTTGGCCCCAATGTTCAGTTGTGGCCAAAACTCTTTGTTAAAGAAGATGATAGTGTGAAATGGTATGAAGGGTGTTTATAAGGTATCCCATGAAAAGTGAAACCGATTGTTATTGTTGTTTAGTCTCTCAGTCATGTCCAACTCTTTGTGACCCTATGGACTGCAGCACACCAGGTTTCCCGGTCTTTCACCATGCCCTAGAGTTTACTCAAACTCATGTCCATCAACTCAGTGACGCCATCCAGCCATCCAACCATCTCATCCTCTGTTGCCCCCTTCTCCTCTTGCCCCCAATCTTTCCCAGCATCAGGGTCTTTTCCAGTGACTCAGCTCTTTGCATCAGGTGGCCAAAGTACTGGAGCTTCAGCTTCAGTATCAGTCCTTCCAGTGAATAATCAGGTTTGATTTCCTTTAGGATTAACTGGTTTGATCTCCTTGCAGTCCAAGGGACTCTCAAAAATTTTTTTCCAACACCACAGTCCGAAAGCATCAATTCTTGAGTTATCTAGATAATACACACACTCTGTGAACAATAATATTTCAAAAGATGCATCTGGAGATGTCCTGATGAAAGCTTTCTGCCCATGTAAACATTAAAAAGAACTCAGTAGACAGTATTTTTAAATTAACTATTTAACAATAATACATAGTGTATACCTATATAATAAAGTAAAATGTTTCAGTAAAGTTGTTTTTTCTAAATAATATTTAATAGCCTGAGAAAATTCTCAGGCAAAGTTAAGAGAAAACAGAATTTAAGACTTCATGTAGTGTGAAAATAGCTTCTACAAAAAATAAGCAGGCACAGACCGTCAGATTGATATATAGTAATACTGGTTATTTCTAACTTGTAAAATGCCAGGTTTTTAAAAATCCTCCTACATCTTTATATATTTGCTATATTTTTCTAAAATGAACATATGTTACTCATGTGGTCAGAAAAATACTATTTTAAATAAAATGTATAAGAAATATAGAATAGATCTAAAATATATTTATTACACTAATTATGTAATTATTATGAATAGTTCTACATATAATATGTAAAGTTTATCAAAAAGTTCAAAATTGTTGGCAATATATACTTAAATATCTTTAGTAAATTAAGAATAACTTCTCTAGGTAAAAAATACTTTTTGTTTCATTTTTGTCAATTTGTATTTATATTGAGATGAAAATATTTTGCTATTATGATACTTGCAGTTTAATTCAGAAAATTTCAAATGTTTAAAATTTTTAAACTGTATAACATGCTGTGTGTATATATATATGTATTATACACATATATACACACAAATAAACATGATTAATGTTACAGTATAAATATAAATATGTGCATTATTCAGATTTGTGCACATGCATGTAGAAATAATTAACAGGGGAAATAATTAACATGAGTTTTTTTTTTTTTCACATGAGTTTTTGGTGTTTTTTTTTTCCCCCATAGAAATAATCTGAAAATACTCTCAGGAAATCTAGAGGGACAGGTAACTATTGCATTATTTTTATTTTTTTAAATAGGACAGAGAAATAATCACAAAGTTATTTGGTCTACCCAGTATAACATCCCAATTTCTAGATGTATTTCCAAATGTTCTGTAAGTATCATTGTTTCTTTTTAACCTCCTAATTTTATACATCATGTTACAAGGATGTTGGGGCTTTGGGACGGTAGGATGGGAAGGGTTTAATACAAGTAGGAGACAATGACCTTTAAAAGAAGAGACAAAGGAGGTGATGGATAGTACATTTGCTGTGTTATAA